ATCTTACTTTAGGGTAAATAAATCATGGTTGAGACATCACACTGAACAAATTCAATTTGTCTTCATGAAAAATGGCCCTTGGAAAATGGGTAGGATCATGTACCGATTAAGAGTGTAGAGTCTGAGCCAAACTTCCCCCAACACCTTCTTGGCTTCATCCTTGACTCACTCTGTGACCTTGGGTGAGGGACTGTACTTAAAGCCCTGCTTCCTCAACTGTAACATGTGAAAAATACAGGTACACATCTTTATGAACCTGAGAAATGTGAAGAAAACTCCATTTATGTTTTTATTAAACAAATAGATATTTGTATCTTACATGAGCACAAATAGCTCTGGTTTTGATTCTGTAATTTTAGTGAATGGAGAGAAACATTCAGTTATATCATACGGTTACAAATCATCTGAGGGCTTGTCATGTACCCAGCAATGACTGGGTACTTGACTTTACATATTCTCGTGTACACAGTCTACAAAAGGGTGTTTTACGATTACTAAACACACACCGAAAGCTGGCTCTGTATAACTCCCTGGACCAAGGCTGGAAAAATGAATGAAATGAATTCCTGAGACGTTCTCAGGGTAATTGGAAGGCTGAAGCTTGGTCAGGAAGCATAGAGACTCTCTTTGTTTCCTTTTTCTGTAAAATGAGGGTTTCTGATAAAAAGAATCTCATGGCTTCCTTTTCATCTAGTTTTATACTTACTAGGGCAAGAGATCATGCCAGCTATCAGTGGCTTCTAAGCCCTTTCAGTTTTCCTACGTAATAAGTACTGGGATCAGTGATATAGAATAGAGGATCAATACTGCACTATTTGGAAGGTCTTTAGAGCCAAGTTCTTAGGAATCGGCTTCTAAAATGTGTTGGTAGAAGCAAGAGTCCTCTATAGAGTAAGATTTCACAGGCCGAGGGAAAGACCAAAAGACTGAATTTGAGTGTCCAAGCTGGGGGCTGCGGGAGAAGATACTGAGGCTAAAACTTTGAACTCTATACAGAGTTCTGGAGGAGCAAGGTGATACAGATCATAACCAATTAGACCGAGTTATCAGTCCCTGAGACTCAGACTGGTGCTGTCTACATTGCTCCCCAATACATCAGTAGAGACCAGGGGCTAGAGTCAGCCAGTTTGGATTCAAATCATTAGTCTGCCATTCTAGAACGATGACATCCCAAACTAAGTTATTGAGCTCTCTCAACTTTAAAAGTTAGTTTGTGACAGTCTAACATGGATAATGTTTAACTTACATTATAGCTGCCAATTGGAACAGCTCTGTGAAACACACTGAGGTTGAAAAAAAAAAAACTGATAACGGCATCAAACACACATAAAGTACTTTTTCTGTCAGGATGTTCTAAACACTACCTTCATCACCCCCTCTAACCTTCACAGCAGTCCTATGAGGAATGTCCTGCTGTGACCACTGGGAAATGGCAACAGTGACAAGTTGTGAAACTTGTCAAACATTACAGGGCAAGTCATAGAGGGAAAAGTAGTCTCCAGGATATGAAGCCTCAACAACCACGTTGTTGCATGGAATCTCCTATGATGTTCTGTTGTCAGCACCGAGTCTCCCTATGTGGAGATGTCATTTAACTTACGATTGCATGAGACTTACTGGGTCTTCACATTAATGTATGACATGCTAGATGCTACATTAACACAAAAAGGGACAAAAGGTGGGGACAATGAAGGGAGAGGCCACCCACTTTTAGAGCCAATCAAGTGAGGTAAGAACCGATCATTCGCAAGTAGAGAACTACTCAATGCAGAAAAAGCCACTGGAAACTAGAGAGGTCAAGAGAACGTATGACACCAGATGGCAAAGATGAGTGAGCCAGTTTACCAGCTTCAGAATTTTCCTAAACAGAAGGTCATAGTAACAATGGCGATGAGGAAGTACCATGCAGTCACTTTGAGCTCAAACACCAATTTGGAATTTAGCTATGTGTCTTTTGTTGAGTCACTCCACTTTTCTGAGTCTTGGGTCCCTTTAGTATAAAGGACTAATACTATTTAATTGACACAATTGTTTTGGATGTTAAGTGAGAGAGAATTTTAGTGCTGTGAACAATGCCTAGCACAAAGCAGACACAGTGAATATTCATTTTCTTCTATAGCACAATGCAGTAAATGAAGCTAGATGAATTCCTGCATGTTTATAATAGAGGGAAACCATACTCCCCGATGCAGAAGAAATCCAGATGTGTAACCTGACTCTCTTGATCAGGAATGAGCACTAGGATATTCTGTTGCAAGCAGAGGAAGCAAAATAATTTCTCCTTGGATTTACTTCTGAAACAAGGAAAACACATCTGTAAATCCACACTGTGCGCCAGGATAGCATGTCAGCAGATCTTACTTCCTTAGGGATGAAACAGAACGCAACACTGACAACAAAGCAAATCATAATATTCAATACTGGATAAGCTGCCAAGTCCTTAGAAACACTTTGAGAGGATGTCAGCCTCCTAGTTCATTGTTATTTAGGGGGTTTGATTATAATACAAACTTTCCCAAACCTCCAATTTTGAACAATGCAAGCATATAAAATAACCACTTTTTTTATTGATATTTTTTCTATTTCTGCATCAAATGCTGAACTGTCACCTCACTGATTCCCTCTGTTCTCTCATCTCACATCCTCCGGCAGAACATTGATTAATACTTCATTCTTTTTTTTGCAGATCTTCAATGTCAGTCAATTATTATTTGTGCCACAGAATTATAATTCTTAGAGAATATGTTTTTATACTGTGACTGATAGATAAAATATGCTTTTAACTTGCAGGGTAGGACCAATTTTCTAACACTTGAGTTCTGTTTGCTCAAAAGCACCAATTAGAACTAATAGTAGCATTATTCTAACCTCAGTAAGTACTTGGTTTGGTAAAACTTTAAGGACTCTCGGATTTGGCACTCAATTTAGTTAACCACAGGAAATAGTTTATTTTATATAGATTATTACCTTAATGTCGCACTATTTTCCAAGCTCTGTATAAGTGACATTCTGTATAATTTGCATACAAATCTGTGAAGCTTATCAGATGAAGCATGCTTAAAAGTCCTATTTGTTTAACATTGGAGTTATTGAAGTTTGAACTCTAATTGTTGACTCCCAACACCTAAATCTTTCAGGTTTCAGAGCTGGGTGCTAGATCGGATATAAAAACAAACACAAAAACGGGCCAATAGAGAGATCAGTCAGGAAGAAGGAAGAAGAGGTTCCTGTTCTCAGATAAGTTCTTCCTGGTAAGGTCATACCATCCTTTCTGGGCCCCACCACCTAATTGTCCCATCAGCCCCCAAACAGAAATTCTTCCTAATTATCTTTTTATCCCTCAATGACTCTAACATACCAACTAGTAGTCAAGGTGCATAGATTTCACCTTTTAAATATCTCTGAATTATCCCTATGGTACTCCCAGCTCCAGTCTCCTGTTTCATACAGCAAGCTGTTCTACTTGGTGCACATTTTCATGTATACTTTTTATTGAATTCTTGTGCATTTTTTCTTAGTTTTGTTTTTTCAATGTTATTTATTATTATTATCATTTATTTTATGTGTATGAGTGTACTGCCTGAGTGTACATAAGTGCACCTGTGTCATGCAATGCCTGTGGAGAACTCCCCTGAAACTGGAGTTATGGACTGTTATTAGGTTCCATGTAGGTTCTGAGAATCTAACCTGGGTCCTCTATGAAAGGTAGCCAGTGCTCCTAACCACTGAGACACCTCTTCAGTCCATCATACAAAATACCTTAATCATCTTAATACCCCTTCCTCCATACCCACTGCCCATAGCCCACTCACAGGATTTCATGCATTCTGGCATATATGATAAGGCAAATACACATTTTTAAAGTTGAAAGTAAGAACATTATAGAATGTGCACATCAAAAAAAAAAAGGCAATTGTAATCACTTGAGCTTAAAGGTGTAAACTGTTAGAAACTTTCTTCATTCCATTGTATCCTCACCTGCAAGCTGTAGACTCAAAATCTGCTTGTGTCCTTTTCCTTTGCTTAAAGGCTTTTCTAAATTTTCCTTGTTTATAAAGAAAAGCCAAGATGGGGCTGGAGTGATGGCTCAACCGTTAAGAACACTGGCTGCTCTTCCAGAGGACCCAAGTTCAAATCCCAACACCCACATGGTGGCTAACAACCACCTGTAACTACAGTTCCAGGGGATCTGACACCCTCTTCTGACATCTTCAGGCACTGCATGACATGGGTGCACCTACATACGTGCAGACAACACACTCATACACATAAAATAAAAATGGTAAATAATAAAGTCCAAGCTCAAACATTATGTATCGAGTGTCATCCAGAAAGAAAACCTAACGTGTTTCAATACTCTAGAACAGATTACATGTTATTTTGCCACAAATTTCTTTTCACTTCTACTTCAAGAAGTAAATGTCAATCTGTACAGAATCCTAAAACTGGGGACAAGAACAGTGTCAAAGAAACACACATATATCCCTTTTTAAAAAAGTAAAAATAGCTTGATTCCTCTTATTTACCAGTCTTACCCATGAAGACTGTCACAGAATCACAGTGATGGACATGCATGGACACTTTGGCCACTAACATGTTTGGATAATGCTCAAGCTCAACTAGACTCAGATGGTTCAACTCTCGCCGATGAAATGTTCTGTGATCACTACTAAAACTGTTGAAAACAAATACCTTCAATTTATCATACATTTCTTTCTGTATTTATAACTCAAAGTGGTCAAAGGCTATAGGATACAGAAACACATTATCAAAATGCTGGGAAAGCATGCAAGAAATCTTAAGGAATAGAAGTGATTCTAACTTGCACTGTCATCCTGAAATTAGACAGAAGTTGATGCTCATAGTCAACCTGAACAGGTTTTATACATTTTAACCCAAACACCAGAGTACAGGACATCACTTTTCTACATTCCTTCTGTCTTGCTTCATGCGTTCCCTTCCTCCAGTGAGAGCTAATAAATTCATACGGTTTTACTTACAATTGTGAAGTTCATCACTTTGAGAATCCAGATGGTCATGGCCAAGTTCACCAGTATTAAAATCATGAGGAGTAGGACAAAAAAATACAGGCATCTTTTCCGCCAGCCGTAAATCCCCACTTTGTATACTTGCGGCCCCTCAGAGCTGGGCATGGTGCTTCTGTGGTGTGTGTACTGTTCCTGAGGCATCTGAAATAAACCAGGTGAGAGAAAAGCACTCACATTAAAATGTTGAGATGGGACAGGGGGAGGGGTGGCTGTCTGCTGTCTGTACATTCTCAATCCCTGGACAACTCTACAAGTCTGTTTCTTCTGAACAAGTGTTTACCCTGGGAATTCACTTCAGTCCCCTTTTTTGATGCTGTCTTCTTTCATGGTGTGCTCTGAGACACCCACACTATCTTTGGAAGGAAAGGTCTCACGGGAAAGCCATTTTTCAAAGAACTCTTAGAATTCCAACTGTACTCCAAAGGAGACATTAGAAGAGCTATCAAAGGTGAACTCTTGAATTACTCTCAGTAAATAACTTAAGTCTGGCACTTCACAAGTGTAGTATAAAAATAACTATTCAGGTGTTGGGCAAGGTGATGCATGCCTTTAATCCTAGCACTTGGGAACCATAGGCAGGTGGAACTTTTTGAGACTGAGGCTAGCCTTGTCAGAAGAAAAAGATCTCAAATGCAATCATTCTTCCTGCAAGAGCAGACATTTGAACTTTATTTTGGAGTTAAGAGCAGTTCTGTGGACACAGCTTCAGCCTCAATTAAATGAGGCATCTTTAGCAATGGGCAGAATTGCTTCCTTCCTGCCTCCTCTGTGATGGTCCTTAAGGTTTAGGCAACTCTAATTAGTACTGCAAGCTTTCTTATTTAGTAAACACAGAGAAGGGTCAAGGTCAGGGAAAATGGGCACCTGCTTCCTGAAGCTCCTGGGATGACAGTGTATGTTCTGAACACTGACTGTGGCTCAGTGAGAGAAGTCCGAACAGTATTTACCAACTTCAAGTAATACATTGTTTCCCTGTATAGGCAGGTGCTTTCCCCAAGTCCCCGATGTTAACATGTTCTTTATTCTTGCAGTTGTCATTAGGTATTACTGTCCTAGTTAATTTTTTTGTTCTTAATATATTTTATTGAATTTTTGTGCATTTCCTACAATATACCTTAGTGATATTTAGACCCTCTCACCCATCTGCAGCCCTCCATAGCCAACCCCCCCACCAGATTTCATGTATTGTTAAGGCTTATCGAGTCAACCTTTTGTACCCTGATGTCCCTTGGTGAAAGTTAGCCCACTGGAGTCTAGTCAGCCTATCTAGAGTCACTGCCTTAAAGGTGATCAACTTTCCCTCACTCAACAGTCATCAGTTGCCAATAGTCCTTCGTTAAAGTTGGAGCATGCTGTTCATTTCTCCAGTTCTATGCTGGGTTTTTGTCTGATTGAGTTTGCATGGGTCTTATGCATGCTGTCACCATTGCTGTAAGTTCATATGAGCAAGTTTCCAGAGGCCTGGAAGACTGTTTATTTATGTTCACGCACCAACCCTGGATCTCAAAATCATCCTGTCCCCTATTCCACAATGGTCCCTGAGCCATGGGTGGGTGAGGTTTAATATAGAAGTCCTATCCAGGGACATGCACTCTACAGTCTCTTATTCTCTATACCTTGGCTAGTTGTGGCCTGTGTTCATGACACTCTGTTGTATGAGGAAGCTTCACTGGTGAGAGTTGAGGGATGCATTAGTATTTTCTCTACCCTTTATTCTGCTATGTTCCATGAGGCTTAGGTGTAGAAATTCCACTGTAGATGTGTCTCTTAGGACTGAGCATCTATCAGACATATTCTGTGCATGTGAAGAGATGAGGAAATCTGCAATAGCCTCTGTCTGTTGCAAAAAGAAGCTTCTTTAATGAGTGGTGCACAGTATACTTTTCTTTAAATATAAGTATCCATATTTACCATTCCTGGGCATTTGCATATCAGAATATGTATTATCCCATTAGAACTCACTTTTCTTTGATTTCTCCTTTATATTACAGTGGGGTCAATATATCGATTTTTTTAAAAAAAATTATGTGGATAAGTTGGTTACATTATCTCTGTTCTCCATTTTAGGGTAGTAAATGGGGTGTGACAGACCTGGTAATAAACGAAGGTCATAGTTCCCACTGACTAGGGATCACGGCTTGGAGAATTCTATCAGCCTAGAGAATTCCAGCCTTGGCTGTGTCTTCTGTGTATCAGCTTTCCCATCACTGTAACCATGTATGTGACAGCGGCAAGTTGACGGAGGAGAGGCTTATTTTGCTCAGGTTCATGAGTTTCATGAGGGAGGGGAGAGGATGGCAGATCATTGGCAGCAGCTTGCCCATGGGGTTCCATACAGCTCATGAATCAGGAAGTAGAAAGCTCCTAAAGGAAATGGGGTGGAGCTATAGCTTTCAAGACCCTTGGGGGTTGGAAGATGACTCAGGGATTGAGTGCTTGCTGCTCTTCCAGAGGACCTGAGTTTGGTTCCTGGCACCTGTGTCAGGTGGCTGACAACCACCTGTAACTCCAGCTTTAGGGCATCTGACTCCCTCTTCTGGCCTCCCTGAGTAACTGCACTCATGTGAATAGACACAAAATTTTTAAAAATCTTTTCTGGGGTTATTTATTTATTTAGAGATGGGGGTCTCCCTGTAGCTCCAGCTGGCTTGGAACTCTCTATGTAGACTAGGCTGGCCTGGAACTCACAGAGATTCAAACCCAGGTCCTCTGCAAGAGCAGCCAGTGCTTTTAACTGCTGAGCCATCTCTCCAGCCCCTCATACAGAACATCTTAATCATCTTCAGCTACTCTTGTCTCTTCATTGTTTGCTTTTAGGGGAGTAGTGGGGATGAGAGAAGGGACGGAGATGTACACTTAATTTAACAAATCAGACTGGGTATAGAGGTGCACACCTGCAATCCTAAGCACTTTAGTTCTTACCTAAATTTGTTTTGCCAGTGAAGAATACCAGGCTGAAGGGAGCTAGATAATGAAAAGGCAGAGGTATGACTAGGATGAAACCAGAGCTAGGCCTGGTAGCATGCGCCTTTAATCTCAGCACCTGAGAGGCAAAAGCAGGCGGATTTCAAGAGGCCAGCCGGGTCTTCACAGCAAGTTCCAGGCCAGCTGGGGCTACAGGGTGACCCTGTCTCAAAAAACAAGACAAAACAACAAAAAAATGGAACAGAGGACACAATTTTTGTCTCAGAGATGAAAAAAGAATTCAGTGACACTGACATTTTATTAAGAAACAAGTTTAAGTGATAGTACAAAATTGCATACATAATATAGATCTGTATAGGTATATATACACATAAACGCTCTTACATACACACACACGCACAAACTTCCTCATCAAAAACAAATATTTTATCCTAAATAGAAAAGTATATTTGTTTTCCTGAATTTTTTTACTAGACATAAAGCTGCCAGAGCATCAGGATTTTTTATGCAGTCAGAAGTTGACAAAATGTAGTGGCTCTTTTCAACAGAAGCTCCTAGTCATGGTGTGCATCAGAGTCAGCTGTGCTGTTATTAAGAGGCACCTTCACTCTGTTTAATCAAATAACAATGTACAGATCTAGCACTCAGCCATCAGTAATATCAAAGCTCCGTCTCCATTGTCCCAAAGGCCTGAATGCCATTGGTCTGGAATAACGTCACTCAACCTTCACTAGGCATCAAAATCTAAACGAGCCTTAATTACAACTACTGATCTCCAAAACTAGAGTATGGACAATGCACTATGGAAAATGACTCCAAACATTTGAGAGACTATCTAAAGCATGGTCCCTCTTTTTAAAAAGTTTCATAATGTAACTATTTTCAGATAATTGCTTGGAAAAAAATAAAGCTATCATGTTAAACAGAACGAAATCAGTGCTCCTCTGCTTAAAACAAGAATGAGGCCCCTGAGGCATCTCTAGAGACCACCTAGGCCCTCAGGAACCAGTGAATTTGCCCAGCAACATTACTGACTGGCTAAGGAATTCAAAGCCAGGAAGCAGAAGGAGCTCCCTCTCAAATGACAGGATTTGAACTCAGACCCTTTTCTCCACGGCTTCATGACCATTGAATGATTCAGGGCACTTATATTCCTATTCATATATTTTGTCCCTGTAAGAAACCATATGAAATTAACTCAGTTTCTGACTCTGTAGAACTAACAAAGAACAGGAAAGGTAGGGAACAATTTTCTACACAAGGCTAAAATAGAAGACCTTGCCAGGCATGCATAATGACTGCTTGCATCTCAGATCAGTAAGACTGCTTGAGGAAGGGGACTTACACAGGCTAAGGACATTAAATTTTCTCATCAACAGTCAAAAAAGATATTGAGGGACTGGAGAGATGGCTCAGCTGTTAAGAGAACCGACTGCTCTTGCAGAGGCCCCAGATTTGATTCCCAGCACCCACATGGCAGCTAACAGCTGTCTGTAACTCCAGTTCCAGGGCAATTTGAAGCCCTCTTCTGACTTCCGTGAGCACTGTATGACACAGGTACATTTAAACACACGGAGGCAATATACTCAGACACATAAAATAAAAATAACAAAGTAAAAAAAAAAAAATAGATGTTGAAGTAATAAAAACATTGAGGAAAGACAATATCTAATCTGCATTTCTTCTTGTTCCTTCCAAGAAGAAATGTATTGTCCTCAATGGAACAAGCTTCTTTGAACACCTGGGAAAGGCCCCAGGAATGTATGAATACAATCAAATATTTCTGTGGAGATCACTGAAACTTGTTACAGCCACTCTTCCTCTATGCTAGTGTCTTCCACACTGGGTGACTTACAGGTACCTAGGAGATGCAATGAAGGGGAAGATGAACCAAGAGTTCATGCAGCATGGTTCTGGAGAATGTATTTACATTTCTTTACATTCTTAGTACCCATGCAGGTGCATTGCTGTGGCTCTCCTGGGGTTGGAGAGTATTCCAGGCATGCTCACCCAGCATGGTGACTTGACAGTATAGACAAAAGGACACATAGCAAGTAGGTGGGACCTATGGTGCAGCACCATAGATATGTGGGGCATAAAGAGCAAATGCACCAGATGGAACAGAATCCTTTTCAGAGTGTAAAACTTCGAGCATACAATTCAATGACACATAGTGAAAACAGACCTTCTCTATTCTTTTGTAAAATATTTTTATT